ATTTGCCTAATTATCATATCTATTATGATTATTTATAAAAATATAACTAAATAATCACAATTCTAGCAAAAAAAAAACTCGCTTTATTTTCCGTCAAAAGTCACTGGCGGCCCGTCTGACGCCGACTTTCGAACGTGGTCCGACGCCAGAGATCGGACGTGGTCCGAACTCCGACATCACACCGCGGTTCTCCGTTTGAACTCCGACGTCTGACCGTGATCTCCGTCGGACGATGGGGAGATGGCGATGCCGGGAAGAAGGCGTCGGAACTTCAATATGGAGGGATCTTGGGGTTTTCATCATCATCGCGGGATGGATTTTGGGGTTTGGTTGTGGTCGACGGTGAATTGTTGTCGGATTGGATTTGTAGTCGACGCTTGGTAGGGACAGGAGGAGAGAATGGCAAGGGTTGGTGTTAGCTGGGGGACGAGATAGCATGCCTACCCCTAAAATGGTTGGAAAAATGGCATCCATATTAATTATAGGTTTTTTAGGTAATTAATTTGTGTTGCACTTAATAATTAATAATTTGTATCAATTAAAAACACATATTAATTACTTTCCTTTTTTCAGTGCACTGGTAGTTGTATCAGTGCAATGGTATTAGTGTACAAGTGCAATGGTAGATGTATCAGTGCAATGGTAGTTCCAAAAAAGGAACATAATTAATATGAGTTCAGTATACAGGTGCAATGGTAGTTGTATCAGTGCAATGGTAGTTAATTTGTCTAGTATTGGCATTGCCCGTTTCAACAGCTACTATGGTGAAAACCTTTTCAATAATGGAACAGGTGAAATATGATTTGCGTAAAAAAATGAGCGATGAATTTCTCGTTGATTGGTAAACTATTTTATTTGAGGGAGATTAGTATGCTATTGGTATGGATGTACACTACATTATTGATAACTTCGCTATATTAAAAGATCAACGTATACAATTGATATTGTTAAAAAAAACTATAATTTTTTTACAGTATCTAATTTTCTAATGAAATGCGGCCTAGTGCACTACTATGTCCTGGATCCACCGCTGGCTGCTAGTGAGGAAACGAGATGCTTTTGGGTGCGATTGAAATATGAGCATCTCCCAACTTTTTGCTTCCATTGTGGGAGAGTGGGACACTTTCAACGAGAATGTGTTTTCTATCCCCCAACCCGCAAGGAACGATTGGGCCCGCTTATGATGACCAAGAAACTGGGGACAAGGGTCTGTGATGCGGACGATATCACCATTCCTTTCCATGGGAAGCCAAAAACTGTATGGGTTAACAATAATATCCAAGGCCCTAGGCACCATCCCAAGCTGGCTCGAAGTGAAGGAGAAACAAAGAGGTCTGACCTGATAAATGATGGCTTGGGCTATCATGGATTTTCACACGACCCAGTACCGGGTGAGCCGGTGAATTCTAATACATTGGCGAGGGAACACCCGACCTTACCAAGGCGAAACCCTAAGGGTTTTCCCCATTTTCGCTCACAAAAAATGAGCTTGGGTCTGAACATAAAACGTCGGGCAAAGGGGAAGGAAAAAATAAAAGTGGTTCCGGCTTCTTTTGACCCAATAGATGCTCTCAATTCGAAGAAGATGGCGACAAAGGCTGGGAGTGGGGATTCAGCGGGAAGTCAAAGGACATGGGAATGCTCTGGAGGGAATGAAGCGGACAACTCTCTCCGCGCAGAGACTGCCCTTGGCCTCGAACGGGATGCAGGCCTTCGTCCATCTGCTTCTCGACGGAGGAGGCTGTTGCTGGAGGAAGAGTCTAAGGATGAGGTGGTGTCGTTATTTGCCTACCTTAGTGGCGTGGAACACCAAATGACGGGGAAACAATTTGGGATGGTTATTGGTCCTAGTGAGGCTACTACGGCGAGCGGAGAGCCCACTCCGCCGGCTCTGCGACGCCTTTCCAAAGCCAAAAAGCGCAATTTGCCGCGGGAGGAGGGCTCGGCTAGAAAAGGTAGGGGCAGGCTGAAGAAGACCGCCACAGTGGGTGCTGAGAGGAAGGTTTCTGCTCCTCTGAATAAGGAGAGTGGGCATTGGTTAGAGGTTCCAGTGGGAGAGGTGGCGGCGGTTGCTACTTCCCCGGTGCGAGCTTCCCTCAATCCGCAACCTGGTGGAACTCTTTTGCATGAATCTACAGAGACTAGTCCAGAGGGTGATATGCACTGTTTCGAACTAAAAAGCAGAAGGTCGGTTGTTGAACCGACTAACAAAGGCCAGGTGCTGCAAGTAGTGCGTGCATTCGAGGCTCGGAAGAGTCTTAAAAACATCCAACCCTCCCCTCCGCAGAATGAAGTGCCTTGCACGGTGGTGTGCGGGCTTATGGCAGACCAGTCCTCGGATCTAACTGGCGATCTTGGTGGGTTGAATGAGTATGGGTCCAACTATGATGCCTTGCATGAGGGAGAAAGAAAACGACGATTCGATGAGGTGGAAGAGGGAGCATGTGAACCCCCTACGCAAAAAAAAAAAGGTTTGTGGAGGAGAATGATATTGCTGCTTCGGTGGAGGAAACCAGCTTTAATTGGTCCCAGCGGGATAAATGATGCTATTGGCCAGGAATGTTAGAGGAATTGGACCATCCCTCACATTCCAAACTGCTATGGGTCTAGTGCATTCGAATAAACCGGACCTTGTCTTCTTTTTAGAAACAAGAGCTCGTCGAAGACTAGTTTACCGTCGTATACGGGGTTTAGGGTTTGAGTCGTCTCGTAGTTTTTTTGTGGGTGCGATTGAAGCATCTGGTGGTCTTGTTGTTAACGCTTCGGTGTTTTTTCATTCCGATTTTTGTATTGGAATCCAGATTAATGAAATTGATTTTTCCTACGTTATCTTTTGTGTTTACATTAGTTGTAATCCTTCTGTCAGAGGCACGCAGTTGGCCCATCTTCGTGAGGTCTGTGATACTATCAATCTCCCCTTTGTGGTTATTGGTGACTTCAATACCACCCTGCATGAACAAGAAAAGGATGGAGGTAATGCGTGGAATTTTGCGCAATCGATTAGCCTCCGGGATTTTATCAATGATCTTGGTCTCCATGACCCTGGTTACCAGGGTGATACTTTCACGTGGACAAATAAGCGTTTGGGGAATGCTTGCATTCGAGAGCAACTTGATAGGGCCCTCTGCTCCCAAAATTGGGTGGATCGCTTCCTTGATACTCTTGTCAAACACTGTGTTGGCCGTGGTTCAGATCATAAGGCGCTAATCATCGTGGACAGGCCCTATGTTCGAAATAGTCGCCCATTATTCAGGTTTGATGCTCGCTGGGCTGATAACCCTAAAGCTTAGGGCAATGGTCATGTATGTTTGGCAAGAACCAGTTTCGCTTTTTATCAATGAGGGTAATTACCAAGCATTTGAGGCACCTCCTCTATGATTGTTTCATGTATTTAGAAGAAACAAATTCAGGGGTCTAACTACCTTTAAGAGTCCAAACTCGTGAACTCCACCGACGTGAAATTTCCACCTCTTTAGTTTGGAATTGATCATGAATTTTGAAGTCTATCATTTAAGACCAAACTACCTCTCCTATTTCATTTTTCTTCTCATGCCAACGAGGGTAATTGATTCAGGCTTAATTGTACGCATTTTACCCGCGTTTTCCTTAGGCTTTTGTGGCAACTGTGCTCCTTAAAGGGTGGTTTTACACTAGGTTTCTTGTGTTTTAGCATGTTTCAGGATCTAAAAGGTGAAACCAGCCCCGGAGTAAGTTGAACGAAAAGGAGCAAAAACCGGGAGAAGAGGTGAAAAACCGGCAGTTCACGGTTTCCCTTGGGAGTTCACGGTCTGCTAAGACCGTGAAGAGGAGGTATGGGCCGTGAACATCAACGCGTCCAGGGAACTTACTGAAGTTACTGACGCCAGGCGAGTTCGCGGTCACTAAGACTGTGAACTGGAGCTGTGGCCCGTGTACTTGAGCAAGCGAAGCGGTGCGTTTCGACGCCAACCTCGAGTTCACGGACGCGTTCAAGAGTTCATGGCCGTGAACTGAGCCTGATCCCTGTTTAAAAGGAGAGCTGGAAGGAAGAGAGAAGGGAGGGCCCAAGAGTGAGAAAGTGTCTTCTTCAGATTTTAGAGAGAGAAAGAACGAACCAAGGAAGAAAGAAGGCTAGGGTTTGCTCCAAGTGGTGAATTGGGAAGCTTCTCCCCAAGAGAAGATCAACACAAGCTCAAAGGAGATCAAAGGCATCAACATGATGGTTTCTACCTTTTCCTCGTGTTCTTCCCCTTTCTAGCATGGAGTAGTTTCCTTTTTCACTTGGGTGTGGTGAAACCCTAACTATTTGTCATGTAGTTGTTGTGTGAATTGAATGATTGTTTATGGGTGTTTTTTAATTCAATGATTGAGGTATTTGTCATGTAGTTGTTGTGTGAATTGAATGATTGTTTATGGGTGTTTTTTAATTCAATGATTGAGGTATTTTTCATGTTGATTGTGCATGTTTGTGCTTAGCAATCCAATTGGCCATTCTAACCTAGATTAGAGGGAAACCCCCCTTTCAAGGGAGGCTCAATGAGTTGGGATTCCTAGGGCTTTTTAAGTCACCTATCTAAGTTAATGTAGGGAAAACCTTTATGTTGAATTAGGCAATTTGGTTAAGTGCGATTAAGCCGACCAACCATTGGGTTGAGTGAGAGAGTTAGTCAACCATCGATTTCCTTAACCATGAGGGCTACTTGAGTAGCCTATAATGTATCCCTTGGATTGGCAATCGGGAGTGTGATCTACGACCATAGTTGCGTTTCCTAGCGGTTCGCGGTCACCTTGCCCATAGCAATCACTTTGATTCACATGTCATAGTAGTAGTTAGGGGGAACCAACACCCGAGTGATCCTTCTCACAAAGAGCTTTCAAAACCATTTACTTTTGCCATATTTTACTTTAGTTAGCAAACTTTTCAACCAAAACCGATTTGCTAGATAATGTTTCAAACAATTGAAGTAGGGGTACACGAACCGGCCTGAGTCGATATATAAACATATGTGCCCTGTATTGCACCCTACTAAGGTTTATACTTGGACCTTAGGAGGGAATTAATTGTGATATTCGGAGCGAGTCAAGTTTTTTGCGCCATTGTCGGGGAACACAGTCTGTTATCTTGAAAATGTTGTTTGGTGTTAATCTAGCTTTTAATTTCTAGTTTTGAAAGTGTGTCTGCTTTGCTTTTTCTAGACTTGGTGTTGTTTTCTAATTGTCTGTAGGAAGATGCATGACCCGGAGCAATCCAACACCTTTGCTACCACGTGACGAGGACATAAACAGAACTCTCCGACTCCTAGCACGGGAGAGGGAGATAGCGGAGGAAAGGAGGAGAAGTGAAGAAAGGGGACAACAATTTGGTCCCGGTGTTAGTGGAGTAGAAGTTGAAGAAGTGGAAGGTGAACCCGACATTGGAGTAGAAATGGCGGGGAACCAAAGAGAAGCAGGAGCCGCCCAAGCTCATAACCTAAACGATGCAGAGATGGAAAAGGAATCCCCGAGGACAATGGGATACTATATGGCCCCACGGCCGGAGGACATTCAATATCCAATCATACACCCTCCCGTGGCGTCCAACAATTTCGAGTTCAAGCCGGCTCTAGTGACCATGATACATAACAATGCTTTGTTCCACGGTCATTCGACTGAGTCACCAAGAGAGCATGTGCAAAGATTCATGGAGCTCGCGGGGATCTTGAAAATCAATGGCATGCCAGCTGAAGCTTTGCAGCTGAGGCTTTACCCCTATTCACTTTCGGGGAAAGCACTCTGGTAGCTAAATAATAGCCCCCCTCGTTCAATCACCTCATGGGACGATCTTCTCAACAAATTCATGACCCGCTACTGCCCGCCTTGGAAGACGGCCGAGTGGAGAAAGAAGATTACCCATTTCGAGCAAGAAGATGACGAGACCACTCCGGAGGAGCAAGTCAATTTTGTGGCAAATGCTAGGGATAATAACCCGTATAGCAATACTTATAATCCCGGATGGAGGAACCACCCCAATTTTTCTTGGTGACTAATCTGAGGCCCCCGGGTTTTCAAGGCCCCACAAGCAATTATCAACCTCGACCAACCTTCATCCAACAAAGTCCTCAAGTCCAAAGCTCGAACTTCCAACAAACATATCTCGCACAAGGTGGTCAAGGGTTTCAACGACAACAACAACTCGACAAGCTATCCAATCTTGAAGACCTAGTGAACACCTTTGTGAGCACGAGTGCTCAAAGGTTCGAGAAGGTTGAGCAATTTATGAATGTGGCGACTTCCAAGTTTACCTCGGTGGAGGCGGGACTCCGAAGCCATCAAGCGAGTCTCCAAAGCTTGGAAGCGGGATACTCACTGAGAGACCAAAGGGAGCCCTACCATCCCAAACCGTGGTGAACCCCAAGGATCGTGTCGGGGTGAATACAATTCAAGTGGGAAGTGGAAAGGTGACTCCGCGCGTCGCCGCTAAAGAAGTGATTGAGAAGGAAAGGGAGAAAAGCAGCAAGTAAGGCATCGCCGACACCAACTCCGGTGGTTGAGAACAGGCCACCTCTTCCTTTCCCCAAGCGAATGTACAAGGAGAGGTTGGAGAACGAGTGTGGAGGTTTTATGGAAATGCTCCGCAACCTCCTCCTCAATATACCTTTCCTTAAAGCCATAACTAAAATGCCTAGATATGCAAAGTAACTCAAAGGATTAATCACCAAGAAACCAAAGCTTGAAGGCCTCGCCAACGTGACTCTTGGCGAGGAGTGTTCGGGTTTCCTGCTTAACCACTTGCCCAAAAAGAGGTCTGACCCAGATAGCTTTACTATCCCTCTTGGTATTGTTAACCATCATATAGACAATCACTTGGCGGACCAAGGAGCCAGTGTTAATGTGATGTCCTACAAGCTTTTCAAAAAGCTAGAAGTAGGTGAACTTAAGACCATTAAGCTTAGCATCACTTTAGCCGACCGTTCGGTCATTAGCCCGAGAGGCATTGTTGAGGACATGTTGGTGCGAGTAGGCACGTTTTTCTATCCGACCGATTTCATGATTCTCGACATAAGCAAGGACTCAAATATGCCGCTCATACTCGGTCGTCCATTCCTCGCCACCGCCAAGGCATTGATAGATGTTAATGAGTGTACCTTAATTCTGGGGATGATGAGGAGAGCATCAAGCTTGAAATTGACCCTAAGGCTAGAAGTGAGGAAGTGAAGGGATTGGTTTCGAATGATGTGAATGCGAGTGGAGGAGAGCCTCTCAAGGCAAAGCCCACTATTACTTGTGTTACTTGTGGTGATGTTGAGCAGGAAGTCAAGGAGGGTACTATGCCCAAGGAAAATAGGAAGAATGCTTGTAGGCAAAAGATGAAGTAAGCTTTGGCCCGAAGGAAGGAGAAGGCCAAAGTGAAGTTGGCCAACCAAGAGGGCCAACTCATGGATCTTAAGATGGGAGGCTACAAGCCTTGCCCCAAGAGAGTGGTGGATCCACTCCTTGTGGCATCACGTTCCAAGACGTGATTGATCCCCAACCGTCAAGCTAATGACGATAACTTAGCGCTTGTTGGGAGGCAACCCAACGAAGGTTTGTTTTCTTTTCCTTATTTTTGTTTTTGTGTCAAGTGAAGAGTTCAAGTGGTTGAGTGGTATCCTCGTGCCTAGTTGTGTGGATTTGTGTTCTAACGTTCATGTTGTGATTGATTAGGAGGCACGGTTGATTAGGTTGAGTCAAAAATTTCTCAGAAGTGGCCTGTTTCACTGCAGTTCACGGACGAATTGCTGAGTTCACGGTCTTACAAGACCATGAACAGGCAAACGCGTCTGTGAATTGGGCGCTTCTGCATGTTCACCACATGTCGACCAACCTCAGTTCACGGACGAATTTGAGTGTTCACGGTCTCTAAGACCGTGAACAGGCCAACGCATCCGTGAAATCCGTACTTCGCCTATAAAAGGGGCGTGAACGACGACTCTTCACTTCATGACCCAAAACTAGCCGTAAAATTTGAATTCTCGCCGAAAATCGCGAAATTTCGACAGTTTTTCATTTTTCACCCATTTCGGCGAGCAAAACCCAAAACCAACTTCATACCCCTTCTCCCCTCATCAAAACCGACCTGTGCTGCGATTTTGGGGAGATTTGGGGCAAGTTTTCCCGGTCAAGTTGGTGGCGGCGAGTCTCCGACGAAGCTCCGGCGACCCCTCTCAGACCTATTTTTTGGCCATTTTTCGCCTTCCTCGCCCGCACCTCACTTCCTCCTATGTCATACTTGCGTCTCCAGGTTGATTTTTCACCTCTACCTTGTTAATTTTGGGATAATCGGATTAGGTAGGGAAGTGAGGATGATTTTGATGATTTGAATGTTGAACCTAGAATTAGGACGAGAAATTAGGTGAATTAGATTGATTGAATGGTGGAATGTTGATAGACCATTGATTGCACGTATTTTTACCTCCATTCTTGAGCCGCTTGAGATGTTGATTCTCGTGTTTTAAGGCGATTTCACGCTAGGTTGTGTGTTTATGTCATATTTCAGTGCTTGGCGTTGATGTTAAGGAGAAGGAACGAGTTTCGGGTCAAAAGGGGGACGTTTGAGTTGAAGGGTGCTGGAGGAGCAAAATACCCGGCCATGAGCAATAATACCTGGCCGGTTATAATTCTGAGGAGGTCGGGGAAAATAGTTTTTGGGCGCCCAAAAGGCAGAAGGAGTTCCGGCCAGAGGGCAAAAATACCTGATCGGGTATTCTGGACCTCGATCGGGTATTAAGGCCTTCACCGCTGCGCTGCGTTTCGAAATCCCCGACCGGGCACCTGAAATACCCGACCGGGGATTATGGCTGAGGATCGCGAGCAGCTGACTTTTAAGGGAAAGAAGGCCAGTTTTGAGAGGGTTCCAAGTTTTAGAGAAAGAAAGTGATACCTAGAGAGAGAAAGCGATGAACCAGAGTTCCCAAATGCCTTAGATCGATCTTCATCAACAGTGGAGCCCGGATAACGCTTGGAGAAGTGCCTATGACGACCAGAAGCATAACCTCATTCTTCACTGCATGTTTTCTTCTTCTGAGCTAGAGTTTGCTTCTCTCTCCATGGAGTAACTTCCACATTCACCTGGGTATGAAGAACCCTAGATTCGTATGCTAGGTCTGATTGTATGAACTCAAGTATGAATCCACTGCTTTGATTATATTCAATTGAGGTCTGATTTGTTGTATGGCATGAATCTTGATCAAATTCCGGTTATTTCTGCTTTGACCTAGAAAGAGAATATCTGCCTAGGTTGATAGAGCACCCATGATTGAAGGTAGTGAATTGACGACTTTAGTCGAGGAGTCAATTCACTATTCTGTACCGGATTTACTCCGGTAGAGGAGGTTTGGTTCGTTAGGGCCTCAATTTGTTTACTTTGGTGGAGGTAAGTCGCCCGTTGGGGACTCAGATTGAGAGGGTCTGGAGACCTTTAGTCGAGACTGCAGATTGTTTAAGAACCTCCCGCAGTATAACTATCTTTGAATTCAAACTTGGTAAATTACAATCTGGCTTAACTGCAGTCTAGGGGGAACCATATCCGGGTGACCTCTCTCAACTTGAAAACAACCTTTTACAGTTTTGCTTGTTTGTTTACTTGGACCTTCACTACATTTTCACTGCTAAATAATAAGAATTCACGGAGTAGTCATCACACTTAGGACCCGGGTTGACATTAAAACCCAAACCCGCTATACAACGCACTAGTAGGTGGTTGCACTTGGCCATTTTCTAGTGTGACGGTAAAGGCGAGTCAAGTTTTTTGGCCCCATTGTCAGGGTTGGCTAGGTTGTTGAAGAAACGTGATTTTTGTTACTTTAGCATTTCGATTTCCGCATTGACTGTTTGATTTTTCCCACTTGTGCCTTCATGGGTTTGCTTGCTTGACTGTGTGCAGGTAGTGCATGACCCGTAGCCAGTCGGGAGATTAACTACCATTGGATCCGGAGCTAGAACGCACCTTTCACCAACTAAGGAGACAACAGCGAGCAAGAATGGCTACGGAGGAGCGCATCGACGGCCACTTGAGCAGCGATTCTGAGGAAGAGTACGAGATGGACGGTGCGCAAAACCTGCCCCATGGGATGCCTCTCAAGGTTTACCCAGTGAATCAGATCCTGGGGAACAACCCAATACCCCAGGCAGATGGGGTTCAACATCAACCACCACCGTGGGGTCCTACTATGGAGTACTACTACACTCCACGGGTCGCCGACATCCGCCTCGTCATCCTCTATCCGCCCATTCCCGCGAACAACTTCGAGATCAAGCCATGATGGATTCAACTGATTACATCTTCCATCCAGTTCCATGGCTTGGAGGATGAGGAGGCAAGGGTGCACCTTTCCCGGTTCCTGCAGCTGACAAACAGGTTCAAGATGAATGGTGTACCCGATGATGTGATCCGTCTTCACCTCTTTTCCCATTCTCTGGCGGGGCATGCGAAGAGGTGGTTAGAGACCCAGCCCCCACTATCCATCACATCGGGGGACAATCTGGCCAACAAGTTCGTGAACAAGTATTATCCAGCATCGAAGACTACAGAGATTCAGCGGGAGATCACTCATTTCCGCTAAGAGCCAGATGACTCACTTCGTGATGCATGGGAGCGGTACTCGAGATTTTTTCTGGTAGTGTCCCCATCATGGCTTCAGTGATGCATTCACCATGGGGAACTTCTGTAGTGCTCTCTCTCCATAAAGCCAGAGGGTGATTGAGTCTCTACGCTCAGGAGGAGACATTCTCACCAAAACTCCACCTGAATTGAACCAGATGATCAGTGCCCTGGGTGCAAGAGATCATTCCTGGGGGGAAGACCACTAGAGGCAGGAGTTCCCGGGATCGTGGGGTGCACGCCATGGAGGCCAGATCCGGGCTAGAGAGGGAGGTGGCTGAGTTGATCTAGACACTGAAGCAGCCCAACAGTCTTATTCCGGGTAGAGGTTTGGTCGGGCCTTCAGTTGCACAGTGCCAGTGGTGTGAGAGTTCGAACCATCTAGTGGAAGACTGCCAGGCTATGAGAGAGTCTTCTACACCCCAGAAGCAGTTGGCCTTCATCGCCAATGCTCGGCGCCTTGACCCTTACAGTGGGACATATAATGAAGGGTGGCGCCAGCATCCCAACTTCTCCTGGAATAATAGCAACACCACTAAACCACCCGGTTTCCCAGCACCAGCTGGTGGTTTTTAGCAGAGGCAGCCTTACTAGCCCAGACAGGGGCAACCATTTCCGCAGCCGCAGCGCCAGTATGCCGAGCCACAAGCAGCTCCAGCTCCAGATAATCAGGTGAGCGAGCTGAAAAACATTCTAGCGGCATTCATGACTACCAGCCAGGAGAATTTTGCCAGGATGGGCCAGAGCATTGCCTCACTGAAGGCAGGCCAGAGGAACCAAGGTGCCATATTGCAGGACCTCCAGGGCACCGGGAACTCTTCCTGCCACCACCGTCCCCAATCTGCGGGAGCCTCACCAGCAGCTGAACGCCATCACCACCAGGAGTGGCAAGCCAACACCAGTTGTACCTGCCCCGGCCAGACAGGAGGAGCCACTACCTGCTTCAACACTTCCAGCCGACGATGCAGAAGTGAGGATGGAGGAAGCATCTGCTCCCAAGCCACATCCAGTGGTTAAGGAGCATGTTCCCCAGCTTCCCTTCCCCACTCGACTACACAAGGACAAGCTGGAGACTGAGTTTGCCAAATTCATGGCAATGCTGAAGTAGGTCAACATCAGCCTGCCATTCGTGGATGCACTATCGAAGATGCCCAAGTACGCAAAATTCATGAAGGATCTCTTTACCAACAAAAAATGACTTGGGGACCTCTCGACAGTGATGCACTAGCGAGTGCACTAGCGAGGAGTGCTCGGCCATCCTGCAGAGCAAGCTCCCAAAAAAGCAGAAGGACCTAGGTAATTTTACTATCCCTTGCTCCATTGGCAAATTATATATAGAGAGGTCCCTGGAAGATCTAGGCGGTAGTATGAATGTTATCCCATACAAATTGTTTAGAAAACTAGGCCTAGGTGAACCCAGCACAACTAGGATGAGTATTCAATTAGCTGATCAATCTGTGGTTCATCCTAGGGGTATAGTGGAAGACCTCCTGGTTAAGGTTGGCAAATTTTGTTATCCTGTGGACTTTGTTGTCTTAGACATTGATGAAGACACAGAAGTTCCCCTTATTCTAGGAAGGCCCTTCCTGGCCACCGCCAGGGCCCTCATAGATGTCCGTGATGGGACTTTGGTCTTGAGAGATGGCAAGGAGCAGATAACTTTCTCTATCGCTGATAATAATATGCCTGCTGCCTCGCCCGTGCATGCTATTTCTCACCAGGTGCACGAGCATGTCATGTATCCTTTTGTGCCTCTCATTTTGCAGGATCCCCCTCCCAATCCTACGTCGCCACTCCCATCGGCCTCACTGCCAAACAAAACGATCAAAGAGGAGTGGTGGCCGAAGTCGCAGGCCGCTAAGCCTTCTCGGAAGAAAGGTGGCGACCACTATGAGCTGGTCCCACCTCCTGAACCACGACCACCCTGGCCATCCGAGTACTCGCTCGCTTGCGTCCTGCCGGATGGCCAGGTCGAGCTGACAAATACTAGTGGTCACACCCGTCGGGTGCATGGTCATCATCTGAAGATGTACCTCAAGAGTGATGTGGATCCGCTCTTGGAGGCACCTGTTCCTGCACCCCTCTGAGCATCAACCATGGGCGTCCAGCTAAAAGACGGTAAAGAAGCGCTTGTGGGGAGGTAACCCCAACACGATTTGAATATCTTTTCCCCTTTTTCTGTGTTTTGTGTCATGTTTGAGTCAGTTGCACGTCTGTGTTGAAGTTAGGTCGTCTGATCAGCCTCGGTTTGGTGTTTTCGTGCAGGGGAGTATGAAAAAATGAGAAAAAGATATTTTTGGTTGAAAAGGGGGAAATACCCGGCCTTGACACAAAATACCGACCTGGTATTTTTGTGTCGCGGCCGGGACCCCTTCTGTGTTCCGGAGCGCAAAAAGGGCAAAAGCCCAACCTTGACTCAAAAATACCTGGTCGAGTATTCTTGAGGCCCGGCCAGGTATTTTTGCTATTTAAGCAAACCCCCGGTCGACACCTTCTCTCTCCTCTCATTTTTTTTCCAAAACTTCCCCTCTCTTCCCTCTCATTTTCTCTCCCTTCTCTTCTCTCTGAACCACGCCGGCCACCGCGCCGCCGCCCGTCGCCGGCCATTTTTCCGGCAACTTTCCGACACGTCCGGCGACTTTTTGACCATTTTCCGACGAGTTTTCCGGCCCGTTTTGGGCGCGGTTTCGTGTTCTTCACCCTTTTCTCGCGTCTCCTCTATGGTCCTACTTGAGTTTCCAGGTGTGTTATTTACTCAATTTGTTATTTCCTAGAAAATCGGACTATAGATTTTAGGACCGAGAACTGTGGTTTGCATTGCATGTTTGAATTAGCTTAGGGTGAGGGATGTCGTGGTTATGATTGGCTTTTATGTGATGCCGGTTGCTGAATGGGTCGGTTGTGCTTGAATCTTGCCTTGATTGCGGTTGTGTTGCTTGCGATTCAACCGTTTGTGCTTAAACTGATAGCCCTAGGTGGTCTTTAAGTGTGGGGGAAGTGATGAACCCATACTATTGGTCCTAACGAGTATTTTCTTGGCTCCATCTTTGTTTTGTTGATTTTGCAGGATCATGTGGCTCGATCACCCGTTGTGCAGGACCTGCGCCTGCACCCGAAGTATGCCGACTAGTTCCGCAAGGTCGTACGCGGAGTGCTCTAACTCCATCACCATCTGGAGTGGGGGGTCTTCGAGCAGCTACACTGCTTGAACGAGATCACCACCACCATTAGCCACCCGGATTGGCGGACGCTGTTGAGCATTGACGAGCCCACCTACACAGAGTTGGTGTGGGACTTCTACACCACCTTCCGGTACCGCCACAAAGCAGCCCGGGACTCCCCCACTGGTGTCACCTTCAGGCTGGGTGGCAGGCCACGGCAGCTGAGCATCGATGGGCTGGCCTTCGCCATGGGAATCCAGTACCACCCCTACTCCCACCATGAGGTAGAGATCCCGCACCCGAAGGACTGGAACCAGGATATGTTCTACCGCGAGATAGCTCGACGTGCCTACTGGTTAGACTACTTCGATGCCGGCCAGACGTACGTCTCCATCATCAGGCCGCAGTGGCACATCCTGAACCTGCTGATAACGATGTAATTGCACATATTTGCGCCCCTAGTTCTTATCCGTTTGAGGGGCAGAGTCGTGTATTTTGGCCTATTTTACGCCGGGTTGTGCTACTTTGTCATGTTTCAGGTCCCAGGCGTCAAAGGAAAGGCTAAGCACGAGTTTCGGGGCATTCGGAAGTCATTTCGATGAGCTGGAGCCAAAACACGGGCACACCTAAAACAGAACACGGTCGTGTTCTGGTGGCCGTGCTTTTACTGCCGAGAGCTAATTGAGTTTGGCAAATTTGAGCTGCAAACACGGGCTGAAAGCACGGGCGTGTTCAGGCAAAGCACGGCCGTGTCCTCTCCAAAGCACGGCCGTGTTTCTCCCAACACCATGACCGTGTAATTAACCCTAGCCAAAGCACGGGCGGGCTGAGGCATTACACGGCCGTGCCCTCGACCGTGCTTTGGCCACTGATGCCCTTTTAAGCAGATTTTCAGCCAAACAGAAGGGGATTCGAGTTTTAGAGAGAGAGATCAGTTCCTAGAGAGAGAAAGCGACGAACAAGAGTCTCCAAGTGCTCTAGCTTGATCTTCATCACCATTGGAGGCCAGTTTGAGCTTTGAGAAGTGCCGATCAACGTCCAGGAGCAGGAATCCATCCTTCACAGTATGAATTCCGCGTCTGATTCTGCTTTTGCCTCTTTCTCCATGGAGTAGTTCTCCCATTCATCTGGGTATGGAGAACCCTAGATTTGTATGTTAGGCTTTGATTGTATGAACCCAAGTACTGATTCTATGATTTGATTATATTCGATTGAGGTTTGAATGATTGAATGACTTGAATCCTGATCAAATTCCTGTTGTTTCTACTTTAACCTAGAATGAGAATATCTGCCTAGGTTGATAGAGCATCCTTGATTGAAGATAGGGAGTTGGTGACTTTAGTCGAGGAGCCAACTAACTATTCTGTACCGGATTTACTCCGGTAGTGGAGGTTTTGTTCTTAAGGCCTCAATCTGTTTACTCCGGTGGAGGTTAGTCGCCCGCTAGAGACTCAGATTGAGAGGGTCTGAAGACCTTTAGTCGAGACTTCAGGCTGTTTAAGAACCTTCCGCAGTATAACTATCATAGAAACTGAACTTGGTAATTACAATCCGGCTTAACTGCAGTCTAGGGGGAACCATATCCGGGTGACCTCTCTTAACATGAATACAACTGTTTACTTGCTTTGTTAGTTTGTTAGTTTAGACTTGCATTAAAGTTTCATTGCTAGATAACAAGAATTCACTGAGTAGTCATCAAATCTAGGACCCGGGTTGACATTTAAACCCAAACCCGCTATACTACGCTTTAGGAAGTGGTTTCACTTGGCCAATTCCTGGAGTGACAGTAGACGTGAGTCACCTGCAGATCACCCGCTCGATAGTCCCCAATGCCACTGGTTCGCACAAGATCCCGAAGCGGGTGCTTTACGCTATGTACTCGATGGGGGACCCGGCGCACATGTTACACTTGGGTTCTTTCCTGGCCAACACCTTCTCTC